GGGACAGGATGGTAGGCCTGGTGCCCTCACATGGTGGCCAGCCCAGCGTTGGAGAAATCACGGCTATGGTTCAGTGGAACACGAAATGTCAGGCCCTGGCAGGCGTCTGGTCCTGGTCGCATACAGAGCGGCCCCCGTGCCCTGGGCTCAGGTAGCTGATACCATGGCTCAGTCAGATTCTCCATGCCACCCCCAGACGGGCCCTCCAGAAACCTAGCCATCCCTTAACAAATTAGCAATTAGTTTGGCTGTCTCCTTGACAGCCAAGAGTGCCCCTTGAAGTAGGAGCTCTGACCCAGCACGGCTGTCTCCGATGGTCAGTCTACAAGGACTTCTCCACATATTCCGGTAACGGTGACCCTTGGCGACGCATTAAGATGTATCTGATCCTTCTCCCTGGGTTATCTGACTAGCGGGGGTTACATCCTTGGTAAGACTGGTTGCTAAGAAAATTTGAGTTTGCTTAGTCACTAAAGACGGGGACTAAGAACAAAAACAAATTAACTGAATTTTAGCTCAGACCACTAAGGCCTTGGCAATGGCATCGGCTTTTAAGACCTTTACGTACAAAGCGTTTCCCTAGTTAGTGGTTGGACGAGGGCAACACGAAAGGCAGGGAAGAGTCGGGAGACCTACCAAAGCTTACTCACCACCACACATGGTTTTTCTAAGTCACCAGCCGAATAGGTGTAGTGAGCCGTGGCCTTCCGGAGGCAAAGGACCTCCTCAAATGCACAGACACTGCAGCCACGTTCAAGCACAGGTCGTCACCCAGCACGTCTAAGAACCCACAGCAGGTTGGCAGATGAGCCCCCCACCCCCCAGGCTTCCAGCCTCCCCTCCAGGTCCCATGCCAGTAAGCCAACCACCTCGTGTCACATCTCCGCTGGAATTTCCCGAAGAAACCCTCTCAGACTCAATATTCCACGATCCCACTTGTGACTTTCCTTTTCCAAACTCATCCTGCACCATCCGTCTAGAAGCCAGACTTTGGTTTGATTCTTCCTCCCTCTCACCCTCCACCTTCAATGAGTGCTGTGGATTCTATCCTGTGTAGGCTTCTCC